AAAGTGAATCAGCCATATGCATACACATGTTCCCATATCCCCTGCCTCTTGAGCCTCCCTCCCACCCTCTCTATCCCACCCCTCTAGGTCATCGCAAAGCACCAGGCTGATCTCCCTGTGCTACGCTGCTGCTTCCCACCAGCCAACTATTTTACATTCGGTAGTGTGTATATGTCGTTGCTACTCTCACTTCGCCCCAGCTTTGCCCTCCCACCCCATGTCCTCAAGTCCGTTTTCTATGTCTACCTCTTTATTTCTGCCCTGCAACTAGGTTCATCAGTACCACTTTCTTTTTTTTCTTTAGATTCCATATATATGTGTTAGCATACGGTATTTGTTTTTCTCTTTCTGACTTACTTCACTCTGTATGACAGACTCTAGGTCCATCCACCTCACTACATATAACTCAATTTCGTGAGAACATTTACTCTTAAAGAGAAGCGCAGGGTCAGCATTTGAACAATGTGACCACTGGCGGCTCAGAAATCACCCCGGGTATTCTCTCGTTGACGAAATTTGGTCTTCACATCACAGAAGGGAGGAGAGGAGCACATTTCAAGTAGAAGGATGTGAAAATAGACATTTAAAAAATATTTTTTGTGAATTTGTCAGGCTGGCTTCTTTAACTGATCTTAGTAGCCTAATAAGCAGAAGCGTCTTTCTCATCCACGTAGAAATGAGGTGACTCTCTTCCAGGTGGTAATTCGGGGATCCAGGCTGCTTCCCTCTTGTGTCTTTGCCACACCTGTTGTGGATCCCGAGTTGCCCTGCAGGGTGTCTCCATTCCAATCTGTATGTCTGTGTGTGTGTGTGTTTGTGTGTGTGTGTGTGTGTGTGCGCGCGTGCGCACATCTGTGCGCACATGTGCATGCGTCTGTCTGTCTGTATGTTATAGGCCTGGCTTGCATTTCTTCTGCTCACATTCTGTTGGCTACAGCTCAAATGGCCACACGTCCTTACGAGGAAAGCTGGGTAATATATTCTGCTTGTGTCTCCTGGAAATGGAGGGTAGGGATTGGGTGATGAGCTATTAGTTTAGGCCAGTGCTTCTCAAATTTGAGCTGCATCAGAATCACCTGGAAGCTTCCTGGCCGCCCCACACCCCCACCCGTTTCTGATTCAGCAGGTCTTGGGTGGGGCCAAGAATTTACGTTTCAAATAAGCTCCCAGGTGATGTTGATACTGCTGGGCGAGGAACCGCACTTTGAATAGTCCTGGTCCAGGAGCACATTTTTGTGTCTTGATTTATCCATGCTAATCGTGGATACCAGAAGTATATCCTTATTATTGTGACTCGAGAGATAGGGAAGGAGAGGGGTAAAAAAGGTAAATAGCCTTGGCCAGGACATTTGGAATGTTACAAATAATTAATATTTCTTAGAGGAATTGGAGTTTTGGAGGGTTGAGACCTGGGTCGTCAGGTGCGCCTGCTCTGTGGGATGGGGATGAGGTGGGACCTCTGTGGCCAGGCAAAGGTGCTTTCAGCCCGGCTAGCTCTGTTGGAGCAGGAAGCTTTGGAGAATAAAGTACCTAAGTGGATACAGGAGAGGTGACACAGAGCAAGCGACAAGCGGGGGGACTTGCGTGAGACTCGAAGGAGAGTTTGTGAGTGCTGGACTGAACCAGGTGTGGATTTGGACCCAGGCAAGTGGGACTTAGATTTTGAGTTTCTTTGAGTCTTAGTGCCTATAAAATGGGGAATAATGATGGTTGTCTGTTGGTTACTATGAGAATCAATTAAGTCAGAATTTTGTAAACTTTCTTGGTTCGTGGTGCTTAGAGGTTAAAAAATATCCTACAGTTTCATTTATTATGAAAGCAGTCAGCTTTTTTTTTTTTTTTTTTTGCGGTACACGGGCCTCTCACTGCTGTGGCCTCTCCCGTTGCGGAGCGCAGGCTCAGCGGCCATGGCTCACGGGCCCAGCCGCTCCGCGGCATGTGGGATCCTCCCGGACCGGGGCACAAACCCGTGTCCCCTGCATAGGCAGGCGGACTCTCAACCACTGCGCCACCAGGGAAGCCCCAGCTTTTTAAAAATTATTATTAAAGCAGTCAGCTCCAAACAACTTCATGTACATTGATATCCTAACAACTCAGTGGCCTTTTGAAAAAATAATCAACATAAATGTTTATGTTTCTACGTTATGAATATGTTTCTCCATTAAATAACTGCAAGTGTTTGTTGATGGACTGTGTGTGTCTGCGGATTCTGCACAGCTTCTCTCTCAAACCCTGGGATTTTGTTGGCATCGTTGCCCTCTTCCTATTCCCTGTTGATGTTTCCTTGTTAACCCAGCAACTGCTGAAAACCCAGCTTTGCAAAGATGCTATGTCTTTGAAAGGAATGCAGTGCAACTAGTATCGAAACTGTGAAAACTGCCTGAGTTGTTCGTATGCTTTATATCTGACCGATGTTGAGCATCACTCTATATCCCTCAAAAGTGTGACATATTTTCCAGTGCCTCTGCAAGTTCACAGTGGTGACCCAGCTGCTTTGGTGCACGGATTGAAAAGGGTGGAATTTGGTAGTTTTTTCCCTTTCATTCATTCACTGAATAAATATTAACTGAGTATCAGTGAGGTGTCAGGCACTGTCCACCTCAGAACAGCATAGAGTCTGGGGGGAACCAGACATTGAATCGCATAATCCTGCAAATGTAGACACCCGATGAGGCCAGGGCCATGAGGGGTGAGTTCAAAGTGACAGCTTGTAGGAGGAAGATTTGACCTGGTCAGGAGACGCTTTCTCAAGTTGGTGGCACCTGAGTTGTTCCTGAAGTTACCGTGCAGTAAATAGGGGAGGGAACCACGTTCTAGCCACGGGGGTGGCAAGTATATCTCAAGCTGATGAAGAACTTGCTGCCTCCCACCCCCCAACTGCGCCGTGGTTGATTTGAGACTGGTATTGTGGCTTGTGTGCACCATGTGTGTCAGACAATGCCTCGACTCTTTCTTTAATGAGACAAACTTACTGACCGTGCAGTTGGATGGTGATGCGAAGCCCAATTGTGGGAAGAGTTTCGATGTCATGGATTGGTAACAATCTGTATCACTTTGAGTAACTGCTCCAGGTGGGGGAAACAGCATGAGCAAAGTGGTGGAAGGCAGCTGGGTGAGCCAGCGTGGGTGGAGCAGAAAGTGAGAGGCTGGGAGAGTCAGCAGGGGCTGTGGTGAGCCTCTGGGTCCCAGGGGCACGTGGGTCTCACATGAAAACAACTCGTCCTGGTGGAGAAGGGGAAGTTGTCTTGATTGCTTCCTGGTGATAGATGGTGACTATCAACAGGCCAGGTACTCGGCTACCAAGATTTGTTTGAGTGATTCAGGCAACTAGCAGTTTCCCTGTTTTCACCCTGAATGTAGACTCCAGTGGCATTACAGCCTCCCAGAGCGGAGGGAATTCTTGTCCCTTTGTGTGAAAAGTGATCCACGGAAGGGCCCGCTGGAGGGTGCCCAGGGGGCTGTGTGAGCACCTCCAGTTGGCTGGATTGACCAGCTCTGGAGCTCAGGCCCCATACAGTGCCCAGGCTGTTGGCTGGAGTCTGGCCCAGCTTGCTGCTTCTGGGCTGTGAATTTCAGCTGTTCCTGTGAAGTCACGTGGAGCCTGTTACCAGAGTCTGTGTCCCAATGCTTCCCTCTTCTTTACCATTCTGAGGCTTACGTATGAATGGGCATTGCACCCAATCCAGAATGGGCCTGGCCCTTGCCCTTGCCTCAGGGGCCATGACAAGTTCTGCTCTGACTTAAGAATTGGGTGCTCTCTCCCTACACGGGGGTGACTTGTGTGGGTGCCTGGCAGGGACGTTTAGCTTCCAGCATCCTGGATTGGGAGCCTTGATGTCAATTTAAGGATTATGTTCTTTTTCTTCTTTGCTTGGAGAGAAAACTGATGCACTGTGGTTTCTCCACACAGGTACTTTGTGCTGGATTTTGAGGCTGGTATCCTGCAGTATTTTGTGAATGAGCAAAGCAAACACCAGAAGCCCCGAGGGGCCCTGTCTCTGTCTGGCGCCATCGTGTCCCTGAGTGACGAAGCGCCTCATATGCTGGTCGTGTACTCTGCCAATGGGGAGATGTACAAACTGAGAGGTACGTTCTTTTCCCGGGAACTTTTCAGACGGGCCTCCTGGGTTCACTGTTACCATGGTGATGGCTCTCTTGTTTTTTGATTTTTTAAAAAAATCACCTTTAACAATTTGCCGGGTTTGCGGACTCTGGTGACAGATGCTGCTTCTCCTACCCCTGGGGTGGGGAGAGGAGATGACATTAGGAAGTGTTTGTCCTAATTAACTGAGCAATTAAGGACAAACAAAAGGTGAGTGATCGCAAACCTGGCTGAGCCTCAGGACTTGGGCAGATTTTTCATATTAGCTCAGTATATATTTTCCTGGACCGTATACTGTCAATCTTTCCTCCAATGCCCGTGGGGCTGTGATCTGAGCACAGGTCAGGCCTTTTAAGGGTCATGGTGTCCTCCTCTCAAAGTTTCTCTAGAACCAGCTCTTAGTAGAGGCCCCTTCACTTGTACTTTATTTAACCCATTGTGGCCCTAGAGCCTGGTGAAAAGCCAACTGGTGTTATGTCCTGTTGTCCACTTTCTCCCCTTCTCTTTGCTTCTTGAAAGCTGAGGTCTGCTAAGCATTCTCCTCAGGTCTCGGGGGAGCCCAGCATTTGGCCAGAACTGTAGGTCTTGTCGCCCCCGAGGCATATCCACCTCGCAGGTTTTCTGATGGGCCAGAGTTGTCTGCAGCGGTGTGATTTGATCGCTAGATCATTCTTCCAGCATTCCTGTCATGGGCACATCGCCGGAAAAATTGTCAGTCTTCTTCTAACAACATAACAAAACCAAACCCCAAGTGCACATGTTTGCATGCTTGTGCATGTACACACACACAGAGTCAGTTTGCTGATCTTCCTCCAAGCTTTGCTACCCAGAGGCAGGCTAAGCTGAGGTTCCTTTATTTTTATTTTTTGGCCACGCTGTGCAACTTGTGGGATCTTAGTTCCCCAACCAGGGATTGAACCTGGGCCTCTGGCTTTGGAAGTGCAGAGTCCTAACCACTGGACCACCAGGGAATTTCCTGAGGTTCTTTTATTATCAATATACCAGTCATATCTCAGGATCTATAAAACAATCCACAAACCTATGATATAAAATTGTCTATAGTTGAAGAAAGTTTTTTGTTTTTTGGGAACTGTGAGAAGATTCATGTTCTCTTTGGAGATTCATACAGTGTGTGTCTCAGATTTATATGGTCCTTGGTTTCTCTTTGCTCTTTATTGCTTAATAAAGTGTCAGAGCAGAAACAATAGCAGGTGAAAAACTTAATGCCCCACCGCCGCCTGTGGTTTCATTTTCTTTTCTATTGAATTTTATTTTTTTATACAGCAGGTTCTTATTTGTTATCCATTTTATACATATTAGTGTATACATGTCAATCCCAATCTCCCAATTCATCACCCCACCCCACCCCACCCCCGCTTTCCCCCCTTGGTGTCCATAGGTTTGTTCTCTACATCTGTGTCTCTCTTTCTGCCCTGCAAACCGGTTCATCTGTACCATTTTTCTAGGTTGCACATATATGCGTTAACATACGATATTTGTTTTTCTCTTTCTGACTTACTTCACTCTATATGACAGTCTCTACAAATGACCCAGTTTCATTCCTTTTTGTGGCTGAGTAGTATTCCATTGTATATATCTACCACATCTTCTTTATCCATTCGTCTGCCTGTGGGCATTCAGGTTGCTTCCATGACCTGGATATTGTAAGTAGAGCTGCAGTGAACATTGGGGTGCATGTGTCTTTTTGAATTATAGTTTTCTGTGGGTGTATGCCCAGTAGTGGGATTGCTGGGTCATATGGTAATTATATTTTTAGTTTTTTAAGGAACCTCCATACTGTGCTCCATAGTGGCCGTATCAATTTACATTCCCACCAACAGTGCAAGAGGGTTCCCTTTTCTCCACACCCTCTCCAGCATTTGTTGTTTGTAGATTTTCTGATGATGCCCATTCTAACTGGTGTGACGTGATACCTCACTGTAGTTTTGATTTGCGTTTCTGTAATAATTAGTGATGTTGAGCAGCTTTTCATGTGCTTCTTGGCCATCCTGTATGTCTTCTTTGGAGAAATGTCTATTTAGGTCTTCTGCGCATTTTTTGATTGAGGTTTTTTTTTTTTGATATTGAGCTGCATGAGCTGCTTGTAAATTTT